TAGAAACATGGCGGTTCAACATGGTGGCCTCTGTAGAAGAGGACCCGCTCTGTAGATAAAAACAGCTCATTCTAAGGCAACGTAATTCCATTTCTGCCATTAGATCCTCCTAAATGTTACACACCAAACCTTTAATAAACAATTCTACTGGTCTAAGTCATTTCATTTCTGGTCTCATTTGTCCATTTAGGATGATAAACTGATGATTCGACATTTTGGAAGATACATTTTTTATCTGTTTGTTAAATTTAAAGTTCCAACCAGCTGCCGGTTAGCATAAAGACTGGGGGAACGACTAGCCTGGCTCTTCAATCTGGGAGGTGATGGTACACTTGGGTTTTGTACAGATTCATGATATAACATGTTAATAAGTTAAACTTTAAATGTCCTGGCAGATTAATAGTTTTCACTATGCCCACTGTCTAGTCTTAATGCTAAACTAAGCGGTTGCCATTCTCTTGCTGCTCTTTTTCTCTCCACTCAAACTGTACCTGAATGCAACACCAAAACCTGTTCAAATGTGATTGCTGACCAACTACAAATGGAAACCAGAATACTTCCCAAACCTTAAATCTTGTCCCTTGCCTACGGATTCTGCATTCATATGCACATTTTGTTTATGGAGATGAAGCGGTTGCTGGCGTTAGCTTCATATTAGCATACAGACATGAGAGTGGTATCAATGTTATCATCTAACTCTTGACAAGAAAGCCAATAAGCATATTTCCCAAAATGCCAAACTACTACTATAAAATACTATAAATAGCATATGTTGGCAGGGAGTTAAAGACATTCCAAGTCATTCGGCATGTTGTAATGCTATGTGCTATGGGTGGGGAAAGAATAGTGTTTATCTACTCTGTCCGCTCAGCCCCCCTGGTTGGATTCTAAACATAGTGACCCTCCCTCCACCAGCCTGCTGCTCTAACCTTTCTTCTTCTACTGTCCCAACCACCGCTGCTGCCTGCACAGCCACACCATCCTCACTGTGGTTTTATCTAATAGATTTGTAAACTGTAAGCACTGTTCCACAGCTGAAGTAGATTTAAAACAGTATCACTGAATATTAGTTATGGCTCTGTCAGTGTGGTCCATCTCTGTTCTTATAGTTTGATTGATTAGTACTGCAAGGGAAACATTCTAAACAAAACATCTGAGTGATTAGTTATGCCATGATGATGGATTGAAGATGTTATTTGACCACTGAGTTGCATCCTTTTCTCTACATATACAGTATATTGGCAGCTAATAACTCAGAAATTCCGAGATCTCCATGGATGCCCCGACACAAAACACTCCAGCAGCCCTGCTCCTTTGAAACTCTTTTCCCTTTGGTGCTTTGATATGGCAGGTGTTAACTCACAAGCACTAAGCGAGGGTTCCTGTGAAGAGCTTTACTACGTGTCACACACAGGCCACTCAGCTCCCCTGCTTTTGTTCTATCTTGGATGCACTGATCTTGTCTGATGTGCACTCCTCACTGCGGTCCCCCGAGACCCCTTTTCCCCACGCACAGACGATCTCCATCTGTTTGCATACACACACACAAACTCACACACACACACACACACACACAACACACACACACACACACACACACACACACACACACACACACACACATATCTCTATCTCTTGATCTGAGCTGTCAGCTGTGATGGAGGATGATCATGTAAGGCTGTTGTCACTCAGCCACTTCCTGCACTGACATTATGATCACACACTGTCTCTGCCTACTGCAGGTTTTCTATTCAGGTGTTGAAATCTAATGAGGCTCAGATAAATTCATTCACTTTCTACAGAAACTGTCTAATTGAATGGTGATCGTGAATGTAACGTGATATATGCCATCCACTATTAATTTATTTCATATTATAAAGTTTGTAACATTAAAGTTGAACTTTTACACCTTTATATTTATATTTATGCTCATTTCTCGCTGCAGATCAAGCATACTGGTAAGCTAGTAGCATTGGTGGTGAAAGTAAACTATTCTGTCTACGCACTATTTAAATATTCTCTGTTTCCCTCTGAAACTTTTATTTGCTTGGATTTGGAATCCATATAGCTAGCCTAGCTAGGGAGACTCAGCAGAGCCAGCAGGTCAGGCCATAACATATGACCAGTTTTACCAAAATCAGTGACATAGTTGGTGGTGTGTGTGTGGTAGTGTCGTAAAGTGTTAACACACATCTCACAGGAGATGTGCAGAGAAGTTACATAGTGCAGAGTGGGAATGAACTGGGAACCATTCTCCCTGTTACAAGTGAGGGTGGCATCAAAATGAAGTTATTTTAAAATAAAATAGTTGCATAATGTTGCTTTAATCCTTGGTTAATATGAAGTTATTGATTAGTTCAGCTTTTAGCACTGGTCAGATGTGCAAACATATTTTACCATCATTTTAAAAGTTTGGGATCCATTGGGATTACAGTAATATAATTCTGGTTTGACTGCAATATCAGGCTAATAATTACTTTTTATACTTTGTTGGACGGCTTAATAATAAAAATACTCTAAAACTAGATCTGTTAAATTGTAATTTAGAACTGTGAAAACAGCCATGTGATTATCCCGAGCATGTTAAAGGTGATAATGGACATTTTTCAGTTCAACAATAATGATGGTTTCAGTTCCATTAATTGTCCCAGCAAGCCATACCAGTGTCCCACATGAAAAAGGTAATATGAACTATGAACTGCAGGTGACCATGAGATAAACAATGATCAAATTAAACAACAGCCTCTTATCATACAACTGTCACAAGTGTGGGCAGAGTCAGGGGGTGGAGGGAGTCATTATGATGCCTATAGGTGCTTGAATCGCTGTGTACTAACTCAAGTGCTCCCAAGGGCTTGGTGTTATTGTGTGTTTCCATGGCACATGTTTGCTGTTTGATTGTAGTGCTTTGGTGTGTGTGTGTGTGTGTGTGTGTGTGTGTGTGTGTGTGTGTGTCATGCGGGTGTGTTCCCTGCATTAATTGTTTGCGTGTCTAAATGCATGTGTGTGTTTGCAGGTGTGTGTTAGCACAATTGGTCGGGCCTTCCTGGGAGGCGAAGGTCAAAGTAAACTGGGTATGCAGGTCCTGGATAAGCTGCTGGATTTGACTAATCTGACAAGCTAGGACATGGAGAGGTAGGTCAGTAGGCCTGTGACACACACCCACAAACAAACACACTTACACAACTCTGTCAATTGCATTTCTATACACACACCAGCAGGTAGGTTATGTCAATACACTTGGCTGGAGCGTGTTGTGCTTTGGCTCAGGCTAAGCTGCATTGCAGTGTCTGTCTCATGTTTCATGTCCAGATTAAACGTAAGGTGTGTCTTTTGGTGGGAGCTAAGTGCTTTACAGTAGATAGATAGATAGATAGATAGATAGATAGATAGATAGATAGATAGACAGACAGACAGACAGACAGACAGACAGACAGATATACAGATATACAGATAGATAGATAGATAGATAGATAGATAGATAGATAGATAGATAGATAGATAGCAGACAGATAGATAGACAGACAGACAGACAGACAGACAGATAGATAGATAGATAGTTTATTAACTGTATTGTAAGACGAGTCACAGTGGCCTTGAGTCTGTGGGAATACTACACATACTATAGACAGGCAGATACAGACTGTCCTGTCCACTGTGCTGAGCCTCTCTCAAGCCTTTCCTTGACCCCGCTGTACCTCCCCCACCACATAGTGGACTCATTCTCATGACCTCAACACTGTACTGTCTACAGGGATACAACCAGGTCACACAGCTCTGTTTTCAACAATGGTTATGGCTACTATCTTTTATATTATATGATATACATACATATATATATATATATATATATATATATATATATATATATATATATATATATATATATAGAGTATATAATTTAAATTTCATGAATACTAACTCTGAAACACATCAATTATTTCTCCATGCATGCATATATAAACACACTTCACTGGAAATGATGCTGCAGCTAATGATGCTACTGTGACTTCCTGTTTATATAGTTGATTGCTTTTTATTGGACGATACTACAGATGTTTCCAAGCAACTATGCACACATTATGTAAGTCTTTACTAGCTAAGACATTCCTTAAGTTTTAACTCATTGTGCAACCAGATTTGGTTTAAAAAGAACTGAGGAAGGACACAAATGTAGCAATAGATTAAACTACAAATTGCTGGAGCCACCGGGGAGAGGTAATATCATCCAGTCATCCACAAGAATAGAAAAGCAAAGAGTAGCATCACAACATCTTTTGTCTCACAAACCCTTAGATTTCCTTTGTGGCCCCTTTGAGGGCCCTGACCCCTGGGTTTGGACCCACTGCTATAAACAGCCACAGTAGTGTTGATCAATTCTACACTAAACCTGAGATCAAAAACTCTTCTATGTTTCATATCACAGCAGAGAGCCCTATCTGGCTAATATTTGAGTTGTCTTTATCTAGAACGGACTGGGTACATGACTATTTTCTACATTTCACCTTTTGTAGCTCAGTCCTCTGTTAAGAAAACCAGTCCAAGACATTCAATATATTGGAATAGTATTGGAGCTAACAAGGCGTTAAAAAAGTATTTTACTACGGCTCCCCTCCCCCTCAGCAGCCAGTAGCTCCAGAAGGGATGCTTCTCAAGATGCTCATCCCCCTCTTTCTCGTCCTTCTCTGGCTTTGTGTGCGTTGGTTATTGAGCAGCAGTCAGATGGCTGTCAACATACAAACCTGGGATTTGGCCAGCAGATAACTCTCAAACACAGTGGATGGCTGGCAAGGATCAGGCCCCCATGGAGGATCTCTTTCATTGGTTGTGCAAAAAAACCTCCTCATTAGGATCTATTCAGGCTCTACATGAAGATTAGTCATTGTATGAGAAACTGGTGGGTTGGGTTCCTCAGTCAAAGCCTTCATTTGCTCTTAGAATATAATTACTGCACAGGCTTTTTATGTCTCGTACCACAAATAAAGACAACTACAAGGTGATAGGTAGGTAAACAAGGGTTTCAAATGTTTTATTCCTTTAATATCAATGGCAAATATAAATTGCTGCTCCACAATTCATTTTCAAAGGTTTTTTTCCCACACATTTGAAGTGATTTCTTTAGAAGACAGTGTCCAAATTCTCCAATTCTTAAAAAGTAAGTGCACAAAACGCCCTCCTTTAAGTTATTGTTCAATAAACAGACATGTGACCTTTCTGAGGCGAAAGGCAGCAGGCGACAACGATGTTCATGGAGCTATGACGCGGTGTGTGTCTGTGTGTTTGTGTGTTTATTGTGTAATGCATGAAAGCACCACGCCTGAGACCGTCACAATGAAAAGGAATGGCCTTTGTGATACATGTCGATACATCATATACACTCATACATATCATATACTTCTGTTAGGTTGTACATGTGTTTTCTGTTTTAAGGCATTATCAGCCACTTCTTTGTATGCGGGGACAAAATGTGCAAAAAACCAAATACACATGAACATGAGATTCCCCTGATGCTAAAACCTGTAGCTTAAACAACTGGTCTGACTGTAGTCTTGTTCTTTGAGAGATTCCACAACTGCTTCTTAAGGCAGATGCTGAGAGCACCAGGGTCTTTTTTAGAGGGGAGGAAGGGTGGGGTGGGTGGGGCAATAGCTGCATGTGATTCTTGACACATACACTGCTCCACCACACGCCCCCTGCCTCACCTGCACCGCGGATGCCAACGCAGCATGTGGAGAAGGGAGTCACGCTCACACATGCATGCAGGAAACACACACACACACGCACACATGTGTCGATTGGCGGAAGACAGACAACAGGGCATGGATGGAGAGGAAACAGGACTCCCATAGACATATTAATGCTTAGCTTAATACATGAAGTCTTTGTAAAGTGGACTTTTTTTGCATTTTACTAGTAAACAAATGAACAGAAAACCAGAACAGAAACATAGCCTTACAATTTTTTTTTTAAGTTTGAACCACCCACCCACTACCACCCCAAAAAAATTCTCTCTGAAGACAGTGACGAAATAAACACTCACGCATACACACTCACACACTGTTTACGCACCGACAGATGGCATTTCAGTGAACACACCTGCCCGCTCACACCTACTTTTCAATACATTTCCCCTTTAGTCCCCCCCCTTATAGCGTGGCTACACAGTTCCTCTCCGTTTGAAAGGGTTTCAATATGACAAATAAAAAGCAGCATTCCACACTCAAAGACTAAACAATCCTATATCTTTTTTTCTGACTCATCTTCATGCTTTAACAGAGAGTTGCAAGTGGTGGGTGCAGGGGAAGGAAGGTTCCTTCGGCGCTGTGCTGCTACACTGCAGGGTGGAGGACACTGTACATTCAAAAAGCTGCAATCCTCTCCCCTGCCCGTGATCATTTGAGACCAAAAACAAAAGGCTGCACCAGGCGGAGCAGCCATTTTGTTTGAGGCTCCTAGGCACGGAGATGGGCGGGCAAGCGGGCAAACACAGCTCCGCCAGAGGAATCCTGACCACCCTCAACCTGACCACCAGCTCCTCTCACTTTTATACTTTTTAATACACATTTTTTTAAAGAAATTATTCAGATTTTTTTGTCCTTTTATCCCCGTTAAAGGGCAAGCTGGCTTTGAAAACAGCTAAAAAAGTAATGATAAACCACAAAGAAAACATTTCATTTCTAGGAGCAACGTGCCGAATTCTGAACAGACACCAAAGCCTCGAGGCACAAAGAGACGTCTCTAAATATTCTATGGATTGACTAGGCTGTGCAAACAAACTACACATAGAAAACTCTCAATAAACCTCACAAGAAGAACATAGGCTATGACTAATTAAATATATTTATATATATTCATCTATATATTTAGTATACTGTATCTAATAAATACATTTGTTGATAGACATAGAGATCTTTCTGTAAACTATTTACATTAAAACATGTACATTTTTAGCTATGAAGGCAAGGCAAAGGAGAGAAAATCTGTGGTTTTAACATTTTAGTGCTTTTCACATGTGAACAGAGGGAAAGGTTCAGGCCTTTCTCCACTTTGTTCCCACTGAAAAGTTAAAGCCAGTCGTTCTGTTTCAGGGTGAATCGGCTCTTCTCAAACTGGACTCTCCCTATATAAACAATTGGCAGGAACATCCACTTCCAAAAAATAATGCTCTCTGTCTCACCTGCCTGTCCTCTCTACATAATGGAATGTGCTCCAGTCTCTCGACTGCTCTCAGTAAATCGGTTCTTCCATTCCTGTTAATACCTGGTGAACGGGGCAGTGAAGAAGTAGAGTACAAAAATGTACCAGCACCTGCCAAAAATAAACCAGCATTCGGCCTGGTGGCTGGTGTTAAAAGTTTCCAAACCTGCTAGTGACCCCTTGTTGTTGCCAGGCTCAGACGTGACATACACACATTATGATAAAAGGATGCTGTAAAAACGCCACCGTCATCAGAGAGAGGCAGAAAACATCAAACCCAACCCCAAAACCCTCCCATATCCCACTTCACAATCTCATGCTGCACAATTTTTTTTGTTGTTTTTGTGTTACTTTTCCCTCTGGATGGCAGGTGTGGACAGAAAATTACAGGGTAGTTATGAGCCTGCCTGCCAAAGCCCGGGTACTAAGGGACGTATTGCTGTCGGCCCGACGGTTTAACACCACACAGTCTACTTTAGTGTCAAACTCTCCTATGCCGTACAGCACGGGCAGAACGACTGACACGGTTTTCAAACGCTCACTTAGTGGAACAGCTGTAGTGGGGGGGGGGGGCTTTATGTTTTTAAGAGACAGCATTTTTGTTTACAAAAGCAATTATAAGTGCAAAATACCATGCACAGATGGTTGACTGGTGAGCAGGGCCCAAAAAAAGCCCCACATCATGTCAGTTTCACACCATTTGATGACTCTGTCTCACTGGACAACTAGGAGCGATGGAAAGGTGTGTGTGTGTGTGTGTGTGTGTGTGTGTGTGTGTGTGTGTGTGTGTGTGTGTGTGTGTGTGTGTGTGTGTGTGTGTGTGTGTGTAGGTGTGTGTGAAGTAAGGGTGAAATCTCATAAGTGCTTCCCATGGCTCTTGAGGCATAGAAAAAGAGGCAGTGGGATATTGTGTGGTAACATTCTCTGGCTGAAAATTGTGTTTCTGACGGACGGATGGACTGACGGAGGGTTGGAGTGTCTTTGAATTCCTCGTTTGATTGGTGTAAAGCAGAGCGGGTGACACCCTAAAGACTGACCGCTGATGATGTGCTGGATGTGGGCGGCCGTCTTGGAGGTGTTGCAGTCTGAATGGAAGTCACCGCGGGGACAGGTAGTCCGCAGAGGCCTGGCTGGAGGAGAGGCCTCAGACTTGGTCAGTCGTGGTAGGTGGGGGGGCAGGGGCAAAAGGGGACAAGAGGGGAGGTGAGGTGAGGGGGGGTGAGGTCTGAGCGGGACCTCGGAGTGGTGAGACAATCTTGGGTTGGGGTTGGCTGCGGGGAGGTGGTGGGAGTTGGGTAAGGGAGCAGTGCTGTCTATAGGCTGCAGCCCAGCTGCTTGGCCGTCTCCTGAGTGTCCTGCAGGCGCTGCAGGCTGGCGCTGGAATAGCCCTCGTCGCTACAGCTGCTACGCAGGCTGCCTCGCTCGTCCCCCGAGTCGCTCACACTGCTGGTGCTCCACTCCAGGTCACCCAGCAGGTAGTCCGTCCCCTCTACATCCACGTCCAGGTCCTCTGTTGGACCACAAAGACAATATTGTTATAGGGCTGTGTGATAATTCAATATTATCACTTATCTAATCTCTATGTACAGTATGTGTACATGATACTATATGCTGAATGCTTACTGAGGTGTGTGTGTGTGTTTTGCTTTTCCCCATGTTTGAAATCCTTGTGTGAGTGTGATAATATCTTGATAGTATTCTAAATTTCATTGCTTATACATACGTTGCATTAATGCTTAACTTGACGGCCAAATCAAATCATTTTGTTTGGCAATTTAGTTTTGGATTGTTTAGATCCAAGCAGGCTTATAGTCTTTTAAGACACATATTTGTGATAGAAGATCGTAATTTTACTTATTCCTTTGACCAAATGTAAGTGTAATAAATATTTTAGTAAACATTTACATTTAAATAATGAGTTTAAATAATGAATAAAAACTGAAAAGACAAACTTTATTTGATTCAGCAATCCTTTCTCTAAAAAAGAGATATCTGGCCCTTAGAGCACGATGATGATTTCTTCTGGTTTTGAACAGCCCATTTGAAGGCTCACCTTGGTCAGAGTCGGACTTGTCGGAGGACCGAGTGGAGCCGGTACTGTCCATGCGGGTCCTCTCCACCCCCAGCTGCTCCAGACGCCTCCTCAGGTGTCTCTGCTCCCGCTGTAGCTGCTCCACAGTGTGCTGAGCTCTCCTATCGCTCTCCTCCAACCTCTTCAGGGTAGGAAGAGAAAAAAAACACTTACGGAGAAGTTGTGAAAAATGTTGCGGTGTGTGTGCATGCGCTCCCTCAGTGGCTTTATTAAGACATTTTATTCCCTCACACACAAAGTACTAACACACACAGATCCATCTCAGCGCTCAATAAGTTGCCCTCTTCACACTGATTAGGTGAGTACCAAACACACACACATATATACACACACACACACACACACACACACACACACACACACACACACACACACACACACACACACACACACACACACACACACACACACACACACACACACACACACACACACACACACACACACACACACACACACACACACACACACACACACACACACACCTTGATATGATCTTTGGCCTTCATCAGCAGGCTGAGGGTGGTGTGCCTGTTAGCATCTGGTCCCAAGGGAACAAGGGATTTCAAGCGCTCTAAACACAGCCGTAGATGTGCCCGTCTACAGACAAAAGAGAAGAAACAGCAAGAGACAAACGTCAAACATAATTAGGTTTTAGCTAATCATTAGCTGCTAAGCTGCTGACATTCCCATCAGCCTTAGCTCTACTTTGTATATAGCACTAATTAGCAAATGTTAGAATGCAAATGCAAATCAGCTTGCTAACGCTCAAAACTAAGTTGGCGAACATTGTCAGTGTGAGCATGTTAGCAAGCTGACGTTAGCATTTAGCTCAAATGTTCCCCAGATGTTTGCATTTAGCTCAAAGCAGCAACTAAGTGTTGTAAATAAGACTGCAGAGTGGTGGTAAAGCAAACAAATCTGTAAACACATGGAATGAATTTAAGTGGATATCTGAGTAAGCATTCAATGCTTTATCTCAATATTTGACAGTTTCCCCAGAGACACCCCTCCCCCCCCCATTGTAAGACACCATTAATGCAACTTTGGGATCAATAGATAGAGAAATTAAATATCAGTCAAAAAGAAAAAAAAGAGAGAATCAATATCCAAACAATAGGGAATACAAGAAAAAAGAAACAATGATACAAATGCTGGAGTTACTCATTCACATTAAGAGGTAGTGAGTAAGAGGTTTGCACACGTTGGGTTCTACATGAAGTGATGAGACTCGCCCGTGTATGTTTCTTCCCAGGAAGTCATTGTAACATTATTACATACTGTTGCTACACAGGATATTTCATTGAGTAACAAATCCTCCCTCTACAAGGAGAAAACAGAAATGTGCTGAAATCCAAAGATCATCTGTGACATATGCTCAGATCTGAACTTATTATTAAATGTCACCTGTCCTATGACACCCCACCCCGCTCTCAGCCGCTCTACGCTGGCAGCCTTGGCGGTTGCTAAGGTCTGGTGGGTGTTTGCGACCACTTGACCCCGGCTGTTACACAACGCACACCTCCAGCTCTAGCTTCGGCGGAGAGTGTACGTGTCTGTATGCCAGTGTGAGCCTGAGCGAGTGGGCGTGTGTACGTCAGACTCTTCCTGGGAGTGAATGTGAAAATGTTTTTTGGGCAGCTGAGGGCTGACTGGAGGAGCTGCTCCGTTTATTGTCTACGGCAGGTAATCCTGATGTGAGCGTCACTGCCGGAAGAGACTTTATTCATATTGGACACATGCTGGGAGGATAAGACTGATTTGACTGTGGGCACACAAATATATTCTCACCCCTTGCCCTTTTAAAACACACACACACGCACACACTGCAAGTGGAACCCACACACGCTCATACAAAGCAGCATTCAGCAGCTGAAACCAAGTGCCTGTCTCTCAGCTGACTCAGTCCAAAGGGCATGCAGACTGACATTACATAACATAGAAATGCCCTTGCCTATGTTGTTCTGACATAATAAGGGATCAGTGTGGCTAGCTAATGTTTGTTAAACAACACTGACGAGCAGCAGACTCATGAAACAGAACAGCTCACATGGTGTCTAGGTGACAGAAAAACACTGCGCTCGTGGCTACAACGCACAGCCATATTTCAGAGGCAGGTTATTCTGGTTCAGCGTGGCTTCAGTGCAGTGGGTCAATAGGTGAGTATGTATGTGGAGCTACAGGCTTGTGTGCCGTCAGCCTAGGGCTAGAACCTACATTTCTCTGGCCTAATTTCATACTTTTTAAATGCATGCGACTGGAAATTAGGTGAGTGCGCAAGCCGAGCTTGTTGCATAAAAACAGTTGCAACCAAGTTGTCCCTTGACACCCAGTAACTGGAAAATAAAATAAACTAGAACTAGGTCAGCGTGATGCATTTTGCCTGACCAGCAGTAAATCACCACGCTGTCCTCAGTCTCGCCCTCTGACCCTGCCAGTAACTGCCCAAGACTAGCTGGAAGGAAAGAAAGCGTAGCGGTAGCTGGAGTCGTGTTACATGAACGTAAACGCACGCACGCACGCACGCACGCACGCACGCACGCACACGCTCTTGGTACTGTGTGCACCAACAGAGGGGAGGGGACTTGGACAAAATAGGACTTTGAATGTGTTTATGGAGATTTCACTGAGCCAATATTGCTGGAATGCAACGGTGGATGTTGTTGCACTCCTCTGGCTTTGCTGGCAGTGGGTTGCCATGAGTAATTTACTATCTGCCTATGATGGCTTTCTATCATCAAGCTACTGGTGGGAGAAATTGGCTAAAGGCTATGAATGTTCTAAAGTTGAATACGACGGGCCGCGCTCGTAATTTGTCTTACTGCTAGGCATGAGGTGTCTCCTCCACACACACGCTCATGCACACACATGCAGGAGCCGAAATCCCAGGCCCAGGCCTCGGTGCCATATATTATTCAGGCTGTCCACTGAGCTGCTGGTTTGGATCAACTAGCACCGGCAGGATGGAAGCCCTGAGAGTGATGGGGACTCAGGCAGCAGCAAAAAAGAAATCATATTCAGGCCTAAAATGTCTGCCTGCCAAACTACTGAAAAATAGGTCTAGTTTGCTTTATGTTTGGTTCACTGCAACCAAGTCACAGCCTGGTATTATAACTGTGACACTGTCTTATTTTTTAAGTATTGAAATGGTGTTTAATAGCAAAAGTTAAGAGTCAACCGCCATGCTAGCAGGTCTGTGAGGCTGTACGTCACAGCAGTGCTCTGGGCTACATGTTAGCATCATCTTGCTAACATGCTCACATTGTCAACACTAACATGCTAAAGTTAAGCAGATATAATGTTTACCATGCTCACCAACTTAGTTTAGCATGTTAGCATGCTAATATTTGCTAATCAGCAATAATCACAGTACTACTGGGGCTGATGAAGTACTGGACAAATTAAAATGTTAACCTGATGATAATAATAATAATAATAATAATAATAATAATAATAAATATTATTATACACACTGTATAGTATATACTATAGTTTGACTTTCTTTGTGAAATGATTCCGCCATGATTCCTTCTTGTTGCAAGTTTCCAGCAGTGTAGACGCATGAGTTTGACAGCATTATTTTGCAATGCGCAGTTGTTAGAAAAACATACTGGCATTGATGAAAGGAACTGATAAGCTGAAAAGCATACAATTCTGATGGATCAGACAGTTTGGAACTGGTTTTCGAGGCCCATCGCTAAGTATAAGGTGACATCAATTTGAAATACCAAGGAAATGATCATTTATTAACTTCCCTTTTAAATCTGGGTAAAAAAAAAGATCCTCCAAACTTAACAGTGATTCTTAACAATCTGATGTTAGAAAATATTTTCCATCTACAAATATGCACAAACACACACACATGCACAGACAAAAGACATTTTGACATACCTGTTCTTCTCCATTTCATTGTGCGTAGACCTGTGGAGATAAAATACATATGAGAAACCACAGAAAATAACAGAGCCACTGATTAAACAGGGTAAGGTTTCCTCTCTGTGTGTCATCAATGCAGTCCAAGGCCTTACTGCAGGGGAGTGAGACAGAGAGAGAAAAGGCTGTGTGGGAGTTTATGAGCAGTCAGAACGGCTGACAAAATGAGATTCTAGGAAATAAGAAGAACAGGCTGGGTATTCTGATGCCCGAGGCTTGTTCTACAGAGGACACTTGTGCTTTTTTTAAAAGGGCCGCACTCAAATACTCGATGAGGAAGAGGCCTGGGGTAAACATAGTAACAGTAACTAGAAACAGAAGACAGGAGCTAGGAGTAGACGGGACTATGCCCCTTCATATTGCCTGATTATCCACTCTGCATGTAGCACTGGGAGAGATGGGGGTGGGGGAAGACGCTGTGCTGAAGGTAAACTGAGAGATGGAGGTGTGCTAGTGGCCTGCATGACTCCTGCATTGCAGTGTTAAAGCGGCGCACACGCACGCACGCACACACACACACACACACACACGCACACACACAGACACACACAGGATGCAGAAACAGGGTTAAGTGTAGTTTTTGGAAGTAATATGCTGGCCTGAGCTGTGTGGAGAGGGGTGAATAGGTGGTGGTGGTAACCGAAAGCATTCCTGAACTCTCATCTACCTCCACCTGACCTCCTGATCCCCCCACCCCAGGTCCCAGAATAGCCTCTGGACCTCTGCTAGGCCCAACACCGTCACCTTGCCATGGCCATGATCCTTGTAGGACTCTCTTCACTCCCACACACGCACACACAAATATTTATGTTCATGTTTGACAACTTACTTTCTAGACTAAGCTTAGAAATAATATCTTCCACTATCCTCAGTTGCAACCTTTGAATAGCGTGTCATGTCTCTCTCTGTGTGTGTGTGTGTGTGTGTGTGTGTGTGTGTGTGTGTGGTGTGGGGTATCATCTTGTTTCAGCTTCGGGTCCTCTTTATCTCACTTGGCCCCCTCTGACCAGTGTGCATTCCTGTGCAGGGCAGACAGCCGCTGGTGACATAACGGGGCTAGCAGGGAAATGATCCCACATATTCAGGCTAGATTTCAGGCTCTGGGACGGATCCCACCTCCTGCTCTAGCCCCATAACCCTCTACCCCTCCACCTAACGCCCCCATGACACGACAAGGAACAGCTGATATTAAGTTATTCTGAATATTGACAAGATTTTGTACTGTGAACAATGTGGAATAATGTGCTCTGCTCTATTTCCATATCAGTACATTACATTGGATCCCATGTCTACTAAATACGCACATGGAGCACATTGAACATCACACTTGGTCATTACAGTGGATTACATAATATTACACTGAATCACCAAACTACTACAATATTACATAATCGTTATATCCAGAAGCTCTATCTAATTAATTCTGTACAGAAAAGGATATTAAAGAGGAGATCCAGCTGCCACTTTCATTAGCTCACCGGACAAACCTCCTTTATAACTGGCAGACTACTGAGGATCATAGCTACAGCCAAGCTTTACCTCCATTTAGCTTGCTTACTGTATGTGTTGATTTAATAACATATAATAATGTGAATTAGTATATCATATATCAATCCCCCTTTTCCCTCAGATCCCCACTATAGCTCAAACAAAGTCATTTTTAAAGAATTGTGATATATAAAAAATATACTAAACTGGACTCAGAGCTTTCTGGTGGACACTGCATGGCATGGCTCGACTCGCTTGGTACTTTTTTTGGTATCACCTCGGCCAAGGTTCCAAGGAAGTTGAGCCGTTTCTAAAAGGTGGCTTTAAAACTGACTGGTCAGAGAGAGACTTATCCCTTGCCCGACATCCTGCATCCTCTTGCACTTGTGTCATGTCATGCTGTGTCGCTATGGCGATCAGCTACGAATCCCGCCTACGTTGAGGGGCCATCGTTATGATAAAATTTTACCCACCAAAGTGGGTGTTCATATCTGGCAACATGGCAACATCTCTACGACAACAGAGACAACAGACAGCAAAAACCAGTCTGATGATCGCTGTCAGCATAGCCACATCATCGGAAACACTTTGTTTGGATGTAAAACTTAAATTATAATTAAAATAGGGCAAGTTTGAATCAGGAAGTGGGTCTGTCTGCACACTATGTTTATAATGGACATTTCCGTTAATCATTTTACAGTTTATTTCATTTTAGTTCAGAATCAGAATCAGAAATACTTTAATAATCCCAGGGGGAAATTACTTTCGTTACAACTCCAAATCTACATACAACATCTGTTTGCCTCCAAATAAGAATTAAATTTCTGACTGCTTGTATTTCTTGTCCTGTCCAACTTCTTTTCAAAGTCACCGCATTCCCAGATTTTAACAATGAACGTGAGTACACATCTGTGAAAAGAATGACATCCCAAACTACAAAAATAAGAACCAGGTTCTATGAAACCCACATTTCCTTTTACAGAGGGTTCCAAGTCGGCCTGGTTCCAGACCTCTAAAGTCCACTTACTTGCATTTATTATTTTTTTTATTGCTCCTGGCAACTACAATAGCAGCATGCATGACAACTGAAATAATGGTGATGGGATGGATATGTTGCTTGGTACTGACTGTCTAATAATAAGTTTCAGTCTTATAACTCCACATGCAGTGTAGACCTTCAGGCTCCCATAATGATCTGGACATGGGTTGTTATCTCTTTGGGGTCCTTGATGGAGAGAGTTTAAAAACCGAATCGGAATTATCCTGGATCACTGAATTGTAGACTGTAGGTGATTCACCAGTGCATTTCCTGCAGCTCGATCTACAACAAGATTCTTCTACAGTAATCTACCATTAACCTGTATTTTAACTTCTGAAGCTCTGCTGTAGCCTCACCCAAGTCAACTGCATTCATCTGAAAAACAGGATGAAGAGCATGGAAAGACTTCATTTGCCTGCTCAACAAGGATAGCGAGATCACTGTATGATTTCCATAGTGCACTGCTGATGCACAGTGTGTGTGTGTAGGGTGGGGGAGGACTCTCACGTCTATGTAATGGAGGAGCTGGTGCTCTCCACTGCCTGCCAAGAGTGAGAACAGAGCAGGAAAGACACAGAGGGGTGGAGGAGGTGAGGAGAGAGAGGAAACACAAGAGGAATAGAGAGAGATGGAGGGGGGAGGCACTACTACTGACACACATGCACACGTACACACCAGAAACAGTGACTCCCATCCCCCACCACTCACACATACACGCCATAGAGAAACAACACACACTGGAGGGGCTTGTACATACAGGCTTGAATGGCTTCACATGCATACACGGCAAATTCATTCCGTCATAGTGGTGGTCTGCCTATTAACGATCAAGAGCCAACATCATCCCAGACCATATCAAACCATCTCAGCTGAGCAGAAACCCTTATTAATAACAAGTGTGGCTCTGCTGCCCTTAAGTAGTAATGAGTAATAGCTGATAAAGTGCTCATAGCTGACGAGGGATTGCTGTAGCTTAACATAACCTTGTAGTTAAACAACATTAAATGGTCAAAGTAAATGCTGGTAAGCTAAAAGCTTTCCTGAAACGAGGGCAATCCCGCAGCAGCTAGTGGTCTACTTGACATACAAAGCTAGTTCCACATTTTCTTCACAACACATGTCTAAAAATAATGTGCCTGCTAAGCATGTTGAGACATGTTGTGAGCTGTATGTTCTTACAGCACTCCACATCCTGCGTCTTTTAGTGCATGGAGGACACGGAAGAAAACTACTAATTTTGTCACAGTCATTGACAAGGCTGTCAAGCCCAATTGACAAAATCCGTCACCAAATATTTGAGTAGCACCAAGTTCCATGTAAAGAGTCTTTTGTGCAAACGTATACAAACAAAGAATGAATGAATGTCTCCCTGTTTAACAAGTACACTAATAAGGTAAAAGCTTGTTGTTACTCAGATTTTTCTAAAAATTAAAAAGGACTTAGTAGGATTTAGTGGCATCTAACAGGGAAGTTGCAACTAACTGAACTCCACTTGAGTCTGTATTTGACGACCTGGGAATGACAGATCGGGCATTTAAAATGCAGTCCACTGTCAGAGGGGGCAGCAATTTTGGAGAACTAATGATCTTTAAGGTCATTTATGAAGAAAAAATGCCAAACATTCTCTGGTTGCAGCTTCTCCACTGTGAGGATTGGCTGTTTTTTTTATATCATTTGGTTTGGGAATGTTGGTCAGGTAAAATGACACATTTGAATACATCACCTTGTGACAGATGCTATTCACTATGAAAATAACTAGTGGCAGTCCATACATTGAGATGCAGATGGTGCAAGTAGGGCTGTGCTTCAATATCAGGGGTTCTCAAATGTTGTGTATAGCAGTCTTATATACATATGAATGGGTTCACTTGCATTATATAACCTGGCTGCCACTACTCTACTCTTCTGTAACTCTTCTACATCACGGCATTTCATGGCCGCTTCCCACCTAATATGGCATTTATGGTGTGTACATTAATCAGCTGCTTCTCTCTACGCACCGGGCAGTGTTTTTGTCAGACGTCCTTTTTATCCTTTACTTTTTTTTTCATCTTTTTGATGAAAAGAAGGCACACAGCGGTGGGTGGCAGCAATATGCGACTGTTGTGTCTATTGAAGAAGAAGGTCCCTCCATGTCACAGTTTATCCGAAAAATCTATTTCCATCAGTCTTTATTACATCTATTCTATATTGGCATGCCAACTTTTCTGCAGCAGCCAAGCAGAAAACTTTTTTGCACTAATTGGGTGTTTCTAGCATTTCTATTCGCCGCTTTTTGTGTGCCTATACAGGTGAACATAAACATCTTTAAAATATTTCTGATCATATAGAATATGGTTCCACCAGTGCTGCTGCCTTTGATCATTTGACCCTTTCCACTGAAACAATCAATGCACTCAGAATCTTGCCTCATCGGTCAACATCTTGTACAGGCCCTAACTCACTAACCAAAAACAGAATGTATCCTCCTGCTGATTTTCAAATCCAAACTGCACTCTTATCACGGAGTGCACATTGATCTGTGGGGTGTGGATGCAACACAAATCTGTCCTGATATGCCTGATTTATGGAATTCTGGTTACAGACTCTGAATGTACTGTGTATGTGTGAGTGTGCAGTAGTTTTTATCGAGGTGACTGGAGCTGTCAGTGCCCCTTCACTGATGTCTTCTGCAGTCACCTTGACTGGCCCAGTTTGTGTTAACGAGTGGCCATTCGCTTTAAGCCAGACTGATGTTTGCTGCTGTCAGTCACACGCTTTACAGAAGACAAGGGGAACTCAAAATATGGCCGTAACCCAACAGACTCACACATTCACAGCTTGTACTATCAGACGACCTATTCTGTCTTGTCAGGCACACATTAGCCATTAGGTATAGAGTGAATCGGGGTTGGGGGATGTCAACATTTTCATATTGTGAGTTTGACTTCACAAAAAAAAAAAACAGCAACAAAAAACAAAAACCTCTATGTAACAATGCTGTGGATGTCACACATAAGGGATTATATCTCAGCAATATGCTATTGATATGCTATACTCTGGGTGGAGAACCTATAAAAGCACACTCTTATTAACTTATAGAGCTATATTTTCTCCAAAACAAATGGCTAAGGTTTTATCTGTGGGAGAATTGTCTGACATATACTTTCAGTTTCACTTTCAGTGCAATGTCATATTACTCTAGTTTGAAATAAGTATTTCTAACTGCAGCACCAACAAATGCTGAACAAAATTATGTTAAATGTACTCATACTGTATGATTCTGTCACCACAAATGTATAAATTGTATGTATAAAAAATGAGCAAAAAAACAATCCACCAAACAATGGATTAATCCTGCTGCACTCACTGGGGACTTGAAGTGGGAATATTGTGGGCACAAAGCTGAAGAATGATACAGTATACATTTTCTGGCCACAAGGAGGTGACTGGCCTTTACCTGCTACTTGTGTTTTTCTTGCTCTTGCTTTTCCTTTTCAAGCTTTCCCTCTCCCGGTTGCTGATGAAGGGTGGCATGGAGGCATAGCCATGTTCAGCTTCTGCAAGCAAATAAACAACATTGTGGTCACATGTCCAAAGAAGCCAAACCAGGAATAGGAAGGCTGCAAAATGTGCAACATCGGATCTTGAGCCTTTTGGAATTCAGTGGCAATGTGTTGTGCAGAAGTGCAGGCATGCAATGAATGGATTTCATGCAGTATCTTTATACAGTATTTTCTCCCCTCAGCCTGGACAATGATGTCATCTTGAACTGGAATAAACCCCACTAGCAAACCACAACAGAGGGAAAGGAGGGGCCTCCACGAAAACAATGTCTCCCTGCACATCGGACTGCATCTGCCACATATGCATTCATTCTTTCAGCACAAACGAAAGGCAAATGCACGTGTGTTTTTGCACATTTGCAGTACATCTCAAAAATGTCTTAACATTGATTGGCACCTTCTTTGAGTAGGCGATGCATCCTCCTGAACGGTTGTGCAAACCCCGATAACGTTCATGTATTTAATGCAAAGGGCAACAACAGGACTTAAGATAGCTTTAAAATGACAGCTGCATAAATTAGCGTGATTTGGGGGGAGGGGGTGTCATTATAATTTTACAGAAATACAACAGACCGTAGGAAACAATACAATTACACTTTACCTCTTTCCCTGCGATCAAGGAACTCGGCTGCTTCGATCAACATCTGCACCAGTCCGATCGCCGCCATTTTCAACAATAACACTGATAATATAACAATCCGATGAGGGATTCCGTGGATGTACACAACCTGCTTCAGGTCCTACCACTGGCTCACCGTCTCACACTCAGCTGGCTTGCTGCTCCGTCAGTTATTATTTTAAAAAGGCGAGAGGTAACGTTAAAGAGTTACTCCTGCAGCGTGTCAAATGGGCTATTTAAAAGTTAAAGGTCGTGAATACAGCACCAAGCAGGTTTAAAAGCCCAACTAGTCTCCTCCTTGATGCTTGTTAAATGGTTCAGGTAACGTTATGGGTTTGGTGTTAGCTGGCTAGTCAAGGCTGACGCTAACACTTCTTCAACAGCTAAGGTGGCTTTGCCCTCGTTATTAAGCTAACTGTTTGCTAAATATCGGCTGGTTTTCTGTGTAGTTCTTCGACAAAAACAAAACCAATGGTTGTTCTGACATATAAAAACAAGCCGAGTGTTGTTCTGTTTGGCAAAAAAAAAAAAAAAATGAAGTTGGCTGACGTTAACGCTCGTGACAAGTTGCCAGATTACCGATGAAAAGTTTTTGTTAGCTCGGTTGTAAAATATTCAGCCAGTAAAAAACAAATAACGTTGGCTTTTTTTTTTTTAGCTGTCACAGACTTGCCTGGTGTGAAATGGATAGAAAAGCGAGCTAGCTGTCTTAAAGTTAAACCCCGACGATGTGAGCCAACCTTTTCGGTTCAGGGTTGTGTGGCTGGCTAGTTTTGTGCTGGTTTATCGCTGATCACGCGTGACACGTCTCGCTGGAAACGCAGATAGCGACTGACAAACTGAGGAACAGTCAGTGTTTATCAAACTGCTTCCAAAATAGTGGCTTGTTGATCTGGACGACAGCTAACTACTGTACCTCACCACAAAGCTTCTGTATGCTGCGATATGATTGGCTACTGGGCACAACAACTCAAGTTCCTATTGGGCGCATACGACGTCGATCGTCGAGAGGGCCGGCACCGACTGCAACTGACGACCCGGTTCGGCCATTTTGGTTCTTATTCACATTTGCTGAAGCACGTCTTGAGCCATAATGGACCGTTTCTGCGCTACGTGCTTGTGCATCGTGATTGGTTGCTTTCTGACAAGCTTGTTAGCTATTGGCCACAATGCCCACGAGCTCGAGTGACAACGCCCGCTCCTGACAGAAGACACGCCTCTTTGCCATGCTGTTTCGCGGTGTATGTCATTGATTGGCTCCTGTGATGTTGTCTTATTTCGGGTTCAGGGATTGGCCAGATTCACATGCTCTTTTTCTATTGGTCTCTTCCCTCTCCTGTCACAAATACATCCGCGCAGGCGCACGCCCACTGTTTTCCGAAACATGATAGCAGTTAAAAGCCTGATTCAAAATGAGACGGATGCCCATGTTAAAGCTGGAAAATCGTCTTGGACTAAATTTAATCCTTGAATGAGAACCCAGCCGATAGCATACATTTGTAGAGAACACCAATATAGATTAGATTTGGTGACACTCGCTTGAAAAACATACAAACTACCCAAGAATGAATACCCAAGTAGTATCTGAGTGTAGGCTTAGTTATATTTAAACAGTCAGTTGCACAAGACTGATCACATTCATCAATTTAAAATGTTATGTGCCACAGTCAAAAGGCTACACATCAGAAAATGTCCCTGCACATAATTGCAGGTGCAAATCTGGCTTTACATTTTTTTTTCCATAATCAGAACTGCAATCACACATTTTTGAAAAGCTTTTATTTTAGATAAAACCCAATACACCTCAACAACACTAAGCTCTATGCATTGTGTCCACAGTCATTTTTCAATATTCAGCTGTGGTTTTTGCAAGCACTATTATTCACATGTTCACTTATAGAAAAAGGAATATACACACATTTGCTGCATAACACAAAATGGGTTTGAAATAACAAAACAATAGCACAATATCATCCACTACTGTGAGGGGAGAATGGAGGTAAGCTTCATCACAATGAGTTGTTGATACTTTTAGGCGATGAAGTCCAGTGGTCTGTTGAATCCACCTTTTCTGTTCATGTACTGCCTAAAAAAAATAAATATATAAAAACACATTACATCACTGTTACCCTCGCAACACTTGCACATTACATCATCGAGCACCAATGGAAGAGCCGGGATCTCTGCATAGAAACACCTGCAGAGGTGATTGGCTATTGTAACTGGTTGATGCAGACAGCGCTCGCTGTGAGCGGACTGAAAAGTTGATATTTTAACTCCGTAACCTAACTGACAACTGATGATCAAACAATGACTTCAAAAAGATCACTACATAATGTAACAAGGGCTTATGAAACATCTCAAGAAATGGTCTATGGCTATGTGCAGCACTGCCGTGATGCAGAAACATTTGTCTTCTTTGCTGTTGACGTACCTGTATTTTCTCTTCATGGTCACATTGACAGCATGTGCATTGGCTGATCCATCAGCTTTCTTCCCCTGTTGGAAAACAATGTTACTTCCTCTCACATGCAAAACATCACATATTACAGTTCAAGTTAAATAGTGACATATTAATAAAACACTAAATGTGGAAGTCTCTGCTTGACTTCCTTTGTTTTTTGTTTTTTGATTCACAGCTAATTTCTGAGGATAATTTGGAAGATAAGCCTGTACAAAACGTTCTAAAATCAATTCTGAACTACAAACTTACAACACTTACTACAACTGAGTAGGGCTGAATTAGGTCAAGAAAACACAGTACAATGTGTGTTATATTGTTTGCAAAAAAAAAACTTTTCAAATTTCATTTGACAGATAAAACTGACAAGAAAATTCTCACTATCCAGCATGCATTTCATAAGCCGAGGTGTTCTGATCTAGTTAAAATTTAGTACAACATTTCTATCAACAAGGGAGTTGCAGCTCTGTGGCTAACTCATACACCTGTAACTGCTTCACAGTGAAACACTTCCAGCTGCTGACAATCTGATGAAACAAGGGGAAGTCGCTGGAAGGGCTTTGCTGTAAAGCGCCTGCATGTACAGTATATAATGTAAATTAAGTGTGAAGTTAGCCATTGGGTGACCAACAAAAAGCAGGGGAAAGTGAAAAACACGTGAATATTGACCACTATATAATCAGGAGCCACCTACTCTGTGAACCTTGGCTGCTCTGATACTGTGGGCATGTGTTTGTGGAAATTCAGAGCACAAATTGGTACATCGAACAGCCCCCCCCACCCACAAAATGAATGTATACAAACAGTATGCTCATCTTCACTTTAGCTGCAGAATGCCATGAACTTTATTAGTGATAAACTGCACCTCCTTGTGGTTGTAAAACATAGGGCACCCTCTCACCTTGGTGGTGTCAAAGGAAGAAAATCCCATCAGTTTCATCATCTCAATTTCATCTTCTGTTTTGCCCTGCATGTCCTCCTCTGTCAAAAAAAGATAGTATTGAAATTTGGTAAAAACATTAATGGTGCAGTTGAAAATGTCATAATACTGAAAAAGCTGAAGTGACTCCTTAATTTATGTGAATATAGCGAATAGACAAATCCTTTCAACCCAGTACCTGAGATCTGAATGGACTTTGCAGTCTTTTCCTTAACGTCTTTGCGATCATCTTCACGTCGGTCAAGGGAGGAGGACCGATGACGCCTAGGGGACCTGCAGAAGAAGACAAAGAAGGCTGTAGGACGGGTTACCACGACTACTGAGGGCAGACACTAATGTAACTCAGATTAAAGTCAGAATGATAATGCTTTTTTTTTTTTTATGGCAATTCACTAGACACTAATGTGGGTAACTGTAGGTCTATACACATATACATAAAATGCCTGCATATAATTAGGGAAAAAACAAAACAACACAAACAGAAGGACTGACCTCTGCAGTCAAAACAATAAAAAGGCAAATGGAAATACTGTCCACTGTTGAAGAAGTGTTTCCTCACCTTGAACGCCTCCTGTGAGGAGATCTTGACCGACTTCTCCGCCGTTCTCTGTCCCGATCTCGGGATCGAGAGCGTTCCCTCTCCCTTCGCCTTCGCTCACGCTCCCGTGAAGTTGAGCGGGAACGCCTTCTCTCTGCAGGGAGGACATTAGAGTTTGAAGAGTGCATACATGCATCCACACACTGTAAACTATTTTTTATAAAGAGGATTTAGGAGATGTCTTTACTTTGTTGCACTTCTCTGCGTAATTTAAAAATGCTATACCTAACATTCATACAACAGAACACGTATGAAGGTCATTGGCACCATGTAAGTCCTATTCTAGTGTTGTCTATAGATAGAGTTTAATTTGACAAAGATTAAAGAGTTCAAACAAACAGGAAACTTAATTATAGCTATTTGAAAGACATCAACATTTGGATAGTGAAGAAACTGAAACTTCCAATACATTGTTCAGGTACAGTGGAACATAACTGAATGTGTAATCAATACAAATAAATGTGAATAAATGAATACATACATTATTGTTGTTGAATAAATTACAGATACTTTAAGTATAGACTGGACCCATTGAGTATGCAAGAACACATTAGCATACAGTTGTTGTTGTTATGCATGAAAGATATGGCTCTGATCTCAACCAATGTGTCTTTCTAAGTTGCTTAGGTATACAACCAATGCTTGATAAGGTACAGACCAACCAGTATTCTGTAAAACAGCTTGTGCTTGAGGAAGTTGTGTTTATGCTCAAGCAAATTCTCTGATATGAAAACAATCAACAGTGTAGTCACAGTCGCAAACTGGGATGCAGGAAGGAGGTTTATTGTAACAGAACATCTGATTACCACACACACACACACACACACACACACACACACAACATTGGCCCAGTGTTACACATGTATACATATAGAGTCTCGGTATAACTGCAGGCCAAACAGGTTAAGCTCATCAGGCTGTAACTGCTGCTAATTTGACACTTATAGTTAGTGACAGTTAAAAACAAAACACACACACACACACACACACACACACACACGTATATAAAAGATATAAGAGATGGCATCAAGCCTGGAGCCAATCTGCACATCTAGAGCATTGTGTTGGCCTCCACATACTACAGTCTACTCCAGCTACTGCGATACAAAGCAAAGAATAACACGTTGCTTTAAAAACCGTGTTATCTAACTATAATCGTTTTAATAGTGAGCTAAAGTTAAGAGAATAACTAACGTTACATTGAGGATGTGCAGACAAGTAGGAAGGCGACATTGTGCTGTACAGGTTGTCACATTTTAGTGTGGAGTCGGTCTTTAGGAAAGAAAACAGGTTGATTAACATTTTCGTATACCTCATATACATATTGGTTTCCTCCCAGTGTAAAATAAAACCGCGTTATTAGAGCAAAAACACCAAACTAACCGTCCGCACGCAGAGTAACGTTAACGTTAGCTACATTAGCTTCTTGTAGTTTCTTACCTCTTCTCGGAGGAGTTCGACTCCTGCTCCTGCCCATCGTCCTCACAGGTCAATGTAGTGCTGAGTGGGGAAACAATCTGAGGTGAGAAATGCTTACACGCTGTGTGTTGTTTGTATTGTCGTCAATCTCACGTTAATGGCTGCTTGCTGCTTCTGTTGTCTTCTGCTGTTGGTGTGCGGGCTTCCGGTGAGCCTCCTGCAGAAGAGCGCCCTCTACCGGGCCGGAGGAGAGCGCAGCTGGCGCGTCCTACCGCACGCTGGGCTGTGTGTTATTGGTCTGGGCTGTGATGAGAAAACCACAGAAGAGCCCATATTCCAGCACCAGCTAATAATGGATAGTACTCACTATTGTTAGTACTTGAAAACTCTATATAAATACAGAAACTAGTATTTTAAAGTATTTAAACAAATACAGTGTATTCCTTGTTAAATTTGTTGCAGTAATAATAATTATTCAAAAATGTTTCCATAGGTGTAAATGACTGGTTGGCTCCAAGTTGTTGTCTTCTTTCTTGTCAATAAAGTAAATATATTGCGTAAGAAAATTATTTACACAAGCCAAAAATACTATCAAGCATCCACAGTATGAATTTGCCTTTCGCAATCATACTTTTGTGGCGCTCTTATCAGATGTTAAAGTAGCATTGCAGAGTTCAGTGTGGCGAGCTGTAAATACAGGAGGAAAAACATAAATTACATGTCCGGTTGCTTTTAAATCAAACTTGATCTTTAATGACTGATACATGGTAACCTTGCAACACTCACTTATACATCCTAATATAAAATAAATTAAAACCATGAGCAAACATCACACATCAGCATTTCGATAACAGCTACTGGTTAAAACAGAAAATAATTACAACTGTTAAGAGGTATTTTGCACATACATTTAAAAGAAAATTGAGAAAAGTGGAATGTTTAGTACCTTCAGTATGTTCTTTTACTGGGTTTCAAACTGCATCTGCAAGCAACGAGTTCTTTATGCTTTATCCTTTTTTTTGGGTAATAGTGGCATTTATAGCGGCTTCTGTTTTGTTGCGAGCCAGTATAATTTTCCCTGCTTTCTTTTACCTTGCTCATCCCTGCTGTAATAATGTCAGTAGGCTGATAATTTTACACAAAACCAGCATTCATAAGAGCACAATCAATAGCTATCAGTATATGTCTACATGTACTGCACCTGCGCTCACATAGTATACCTGCAACATCTATCTGATAATTAGAACCAAATCATGAGTAGAAGATGCCTATGGTGATGAACAAATGCAACATACTAGAATTTCAATATACATGTGGTAAGTGCCTATAAATGGATAACGGGTGCATAATTCATGGTAACTTAAATTTCCACCGTGCCTTGCAAAGATGTGGATTAATAAAATGGTATGAAACATCCCAGTTTTAGAAAGGAACATGTTTGACTGCCTATACAGTGACGATAAGTAATGGTTTGATAGCACAGCAGGTGAAAATAAGACGTGAGTAATACAGGGACTGACTGTGTGTGTGTGTGTGTGTGTGTGTGTGTGTGTGTGTGTGTGTGTGTGTGTGTGAGACAAGAAGTAGTGTGTCAAAATGACCTGGGTCAAATAGTATGTGAAAATAATTATCAGTGTTTTTTAACCTGCTTAAGATGAATCCCCACATAGATCAAATCTGAGTACCAGTGTTACAGTGAAGTATTCAAGGTTGATTTAGTACACTATGTCTGTGAGTGACATCTTAACTGACAGCGTTTGAATAGATCTGATGTGGTTAACTCATCTGCTACTCCGTCATACACTTAAATGTTTCACAGTAGTATTTCACCGAGGTCTCGTGTGTGAGCGCCTCAGGTCTCCACCTTTTCCTTTTCCTTCTGCTTCTTGCTCTTTTTCAGGAACGACGGCGGCTTGAACTTCTTTTTCTTCTTGGACGGGGACTTGGAGGGCGAGCCCTCCGGGGTGCCGCCTTGTGGTTTGGCAGGCGGAGCAGCAGGCGTGGAGGACGTGTCGTTGGTGGAGAGAGCCTTCATCCCTTTCTCCAGTTCCTCTGTCGTCTGCTTCTCCTCCTCGCCTCCGTTCTGTATGGCTGGAGAGTCGGTCTTTGCCTCTTCTGCTCCGAGTATTGTAAAGAAACAAGTAGAAACTTAGAATATTCAGCAACCAGACAGAGAGGACTGAGTGGGGTGGGGCTGCAAAGCTACATGCTTGCAATGTGACTGTAGATGAACATGCTTGCTTAATGAGGTGTGGACTGTCGTACTGTTTCTCTGTACTTACTAGTGGATCTCTTTACAAAAGGGCTGAAATGTGGTAAATGTAAATGAAAACAGCTAATACTGAAGTCTTGAACCAGACATGTTGACTTACACAGATGTACCAACAGGAATAATGTCTGCATTCAGTTTAATTTTAGGGCAATGTTGACTCGCTGACAGAGCTACATGTAGCCTGAGCCATAATTATTGCTAGAAGCTGATGTTTTCCTGCTATGTCTTTCATGTGAAAGACTAATTGCATATTAACTGCATACGCCAGTGCAGTTGTACAGAGAGGTCTGTGGATTATCCAAAGACACCGGGGTACTGTCTTTAGAGCGAGATGTTGTTGTTGAATATCTAATTTTTTAATCCTGTAAGAATCACAAATGAATGTTATATTGATGGATGCAGAAACCCTGATCAACAATTCAGTGGTGGAAAGTAATTACTCAAGTACTGTACTTATGTATAGTTTTGAGTAAAATGTAATGCTACGCTGTACTTCTACACCACTACATTTCAGAGGGAATAACTGTGTTTTTACTGCACTATTTATCTGAAAACAAAAGTTAATGGTTACTTTTAAGATTTTAATTTTACATTCCATGTTATGATGTTAGAAAATACTTGTTACCACCAGACAGTAGTTCAAATTAGCACCACTCCAACCAACTACAACAGTAAAATGCTACTGACGGTACACATTAATGCACCAGTGGACCAGTTTGCATCAGTGGACTGGCATAAAGGTTCAAGATGCAGTTGAACTGATGTGTGCATCGGATACAATGTGACATTAAATCCAGATGCACTGTTTCAAACTTCTCTGCATCGCAAAAAATGATTTATTTATATAGAATTATTATGAGAGGTCTAATTCCTTTATTATTTAGAAATGTTACCAATAATTGTATATTAACATTGATTCCTCCTCTCTTAACGTCTCTCAAGCTGCTTAATGAGAACCAAAGAAATAAAATTAAACTGTCTGTGCCATATTGAATTTCGTAGCATCATATGCTTTTGCATCCTATCACACTGGTAGTTGCTTCATATGTCTCCTTAATATATCAGATTGTTGGCGAGGCATCAACATGCATATTGTATCGGTGATGTATGAGTGATGGAAATGCAAATTTTTCGAATAAGTACTACTTTCGATACTTATTGCTGATAAATAATTTTACTTGGACTTTACTTTACTTGTAACTGAGTATGTTTAAATTGTGTTATTGTTACTGAAGTAAAAGGTCGGAATACTTTGTCCACCATTGCAATAATTTTAATATACTGAATTGCTGGCAGATTTTTGTCAGATACACATGAATCTCTTTGATTGATACCGTACTGCAGCTAAATCAAACCTCAAACATCCACCACTGATGGCTCAGCAGGATCGGAACTGTATTGACTACAACCAGTCAATAATGTCTATATTCCTGTATTGTGATCATTGAAAACAAAAGAAAAATAACAATGAAGTTTCTACTGTAATCTACAATCTTGTGTGTGACATTAGATCACCCAGTTGTTTCTGAATGTGAGTTTGAACTAAACAGAGATAGGATCAGCTGAGTATGAGGAGGAGTAACACGGTTGTCAAGAGAGTCATCTGAAGCATGAGGAGGCAGAAGCATGAGCAGGCTGCTGGTCAGGGTGCAAGGCAAGCAGGGCAGACAGTCAGCGCTCTGCCAAGCCTCACCTGAGAGAGGAGGTTGGCTGGGCGGAGGGCCCTTTGTGGGGGAGGTAGCAGGGGGAGATTCCTTGTCACTTGCCACCTCCTCCCCTACTTACACAAACACACACACACACACACGGAGACACACAGTGAGGGCTCAGCTGTGCAGGAAGTTAGATTTGTGAACTGTGTGAACACATTTTACACAGCAGTCACAAGCGAAATCGAGTTTGCTTAAGGTGGCTGTGTGCGACATTTTAACTCCAAACACTGGCTAAAAACAGACTCTACCAGCATCCACACTGCATTTTACATTCTGTGCCATTGTGCTGCATGCAGTGATAGATGGTGGAATAAGTTTAATTTAAAATTGATAGCCTATAATGGCATTTAAAACTGCTACACACAGCACCTTAAGAAGGTTAGAAAAAAAGTGTACAATGCATTAATAGTGAAAGTGAGGGGTAGCATATTAATCTGCATTTACTACACTATATAGACAAATGGCACCAGTAAAAGACAGTAAAGGGTTATGAATTTTAAATGTATAAATCAATAAATAATGTTGGTTAAATAATTAAAAAGGATATATTAAGCTTTATGGTTTTCCCTTACCACATGCTTACATGATAATGGGAGGAGCATGTCCACATTTGTCAGGGGGCAGAGATAGGTCCAGGTTGGCTGTGTGTGTGTGTGTGTGTGTGTGTGTGTGTGTGTGTGTGTGTGTGTGTGTGTGTGTGTGTGTGTGTGTGTGTGTGTGTGTGTGTGTGAGAGAGACTTAGGCTACCTTTGGGGACATATTTCAGATTAAAGACCAGGACTGGGTTGCACCAGATATGTGTAAGTGTAAGCACTAGAGGCTCAGTAACTACCAGAGTTTGTAACTACATCAGCCACTAAAATTGGCTGCATCACAATTACTTTGGGCATAACTTAAATAGTTTGGACATGAAGTCGTAACTAAGGCAAGTGGCTAATCAACAATCAAAGATTGAGTTCCATCATGGTATTAGCTTTCTGACTGGCATAAGCTACTTGGCTTCGTAGCACATCATAGTAAGCTAGATCGACATATATATATATATAGGTCACTACTCAATTACTGTGTTGCAAAATGACTGCAATTAATGAAAAAATGTGTGGCAGAAAGCTGTTTTACTATCAGTGAGTATGATTATGTGACATTTAGAGTTACACCATCTCAGGGGCACGTGTAACTATTTAGGTGTTACTAAGAGTTAAGTTTCAACTTACCTCCACAGTG